TTTCTGCTCAGCAGCTTGAAGCTCAGCTTCTTCAGCATGGCTGAGGTCCATGGGTTTCGTCCTGTTAGAGGCATTTGAATTTTACCATGGCAGACCATAGCGAGCAGATTTAAAATTAAATTTAGCGTTAAACGCTATGCTCACTGCCTCTTCGAACGTTGAAGGCTGGAAACGAAAAACTTCTGTCCTGGCGACCCCAGTACGAAGCCCTCACATATATATATGGTTACTCGGACTTCCTCTGCCAGAGGGTCCTGCTGCATAGCAGCAATGAGAGTTCACAACTCTTGGACATAGTCCGACAATTCTTTCTCACCCTGTCGGGTAGCTAAGAAGCGTAAGCGCAGACGATAGGCTTGATTAGGCGGTGCATTCACGCAAGTTAATTGATTTTTAAGCATTTCCCAACTATTTTTTTTATGATGGTAATTAATCTAGCGTAGGGTACTTAGAGTAGGATTTATTCATATAATCTTAATGCATGAATAAAGTTAATTCTCATTTTGAGTTCAAGATCTCAAGTCTCTATAAGACTTGTTCTCGTGTGCACTTCGTGCGTTACTTCCTTGAACCGTAAGCATAGCTTAAACGCTTGCACTCGGTGCGTTGATCTCTTAAGCTTTTTGCTTGCAGACTAAAAGCCTCTCTACTAGTTCCTTAGAACAGGGTGACTTCTTAGTCGTTTAATTAGTTACTTAGAACTAAGTGGCTTTTAGCCGTAAATTTATTTCGTTCTATAGAACGAAGAGGCTCTCACCCTAAAAGTCTTATCTGGCTAAAGAGCTGTGCAGCTCTGCTACACTTGGTAGCACTCTTAGTCAATCCTACACCTGAGTCTCTAAGACTGACCCTCTTGGAGGATGGAGAGTCAAAATCATCTCACTGAGGCGCAACGACTCTCACTAGATAAATTATCTGCGTTCGTTGGGCCCGAACAAATCGAGGCTCTTTTGTCCCAAGGCCCGGAGGTCCTTAATGCTCGCCTTGAGGCCTTCACGCGTTATGAAGCAACGCTACTCGGGCAGGTCCATGACCAGGCAGCGTCAGCTGCGCCTACACAGTACATCCCGGTACCTGTGCCCGATGCAGAGCCAAAGGCTCGCCCACTCGTTTTAAACGTGAAAACCTTTGAGGGAAGGAGGGAGAAAATCTTCTCCTCTGGATACGAGAAGTTGAAATGGTAATGGATGCCGCCATGCTTGTGTCAGATAAGCAACGAGTTGGCTTGGCCATTTCTAAGCTCGGTGGAAGAGCTAGAGAGTGGGCTCTAACGAGCGATGTCTCTGTAAATGCCGCATTTCCCACAATGTAATCGTCTGTATCTGGTGGATATGGAATGATCCAATCATCAGTGTATGTTGTACTTAGTACTACTGTATCGGTTATGAATTGATACTGAATATAAGGTATTACTGATACCTTATACTATCACCCAATATAATACCCCTTTTGTAGGGATCGGTATTGAGAATGCATTATATGCAATATAGAAACTTCAACCGTGATGTACTTTCACTATAATGAAATGGGGTGGGTCGTTAAAAATAATTGGGTGGATCGATAAAACAAATCTGGGTTGGTCGATTTAGTAATTCCTTTTTGCTAATAGTGATAACTTAACGATATGTTTGGGTGCTGTCATGCTACCAGCAGTCTTATTTACAGCTGCTGGGCTCGAGCAGAACTGCACAACATACAGAAGCAATTTATGTGGCATCACACCACGTCTACATGCAACAGCAGACACAAGGTCAATCCAGGCCTGCTATACACACCACGCGGGGCGGGAGGGATAGGGCTCGTCTCCATAGACGTCGCCATATGCACTCAAAATCTTAAGCATGCGATGAAGTGGCTGATTCAGAAACGCGATCGCTACTTCTATGCTTGGGCAGCGTGGTCATTCCAAGATATGGAGGACTCAGCTATGTGGAGAATCTCACCGGCATCACCCAAAGCCGGTAGAAACAGCACGCTAATGGCTCCACAACCGGAAATCAGAGCGGAATTAAGCGCGTGGATCGCACCGACGTCAGAAGAATGGACGATCATTAAACAGCATCGTGATGGAATTTTGAAGCGCCTAGTGACGCACCTCGTGGCCACCAGGTCGGACCAGGATTTACTTCTCCAATATTATGAAGATATCCCGACTATTACAAACATGTACACTCAGGAGCACAAAGAATTTTGGGCGACTTACAGGTGGGATCAGAATCCTTGGATAATAGATGACAAGGGGATTATGCTATCAACAAAGAAATATCCACTACTACCCGCCTGCACGCTAGCTGAGCTACACATTCGGCGAGTGTCAACGCTGGATTACCGTATTCGGGTCCCAACAACGAAACTGAATACTTACCACACGCTGCCTAAACTAGGGCTATGGGCAACAGCCATACTTATGGCAAGTCCCTATCTGCACGAACGCAGAAGAAATGCAAATACCGGCTCAGCTTACGCTGCGGAACGGGCCGGAGGTATTGAACACGTACACCTGGACATTGCTGGACCAGGGGGTCACACACGGGCGCCAGAAAGCACACGCCGGCGGCAACCACGCCCTTATCGTCCTCCATCAAGCCAACGACGGACTCCATTGGATCATTGATCACATGACCGATGTGCCAGAAGCTGATCAACAGGAGCTGGTGGATCTACAACAGAAAACACGCAACACGGCGCTTGTATTCACAGCGCATCCGCTGCTACATGGGTTTCCATGGAGTTTCCCACCTTCCATCAACAACATGCACGCATTCAAGGCGCTTCAACGCCAACCATTCCATCGCGCCAAACGAAAGCTTCATCCAGCACTTACGGCGGTAATTACCAGGCTACATCAACGAGACGGCTCACAGGACGGTAACCACTTCCCGATGTCGCAGTCACCGGCACAACTCTGGGATCACGGACACACTCTCACGGAATACCAGGTCTGGGTATGCTACAGAGTAGCTACTCATCAGTTTTGAACCTGTACTTTCGGGACGCGACATGGACTCGACGTGCAAGAGGCATCTAGCCTGCATCGGGCAACACGAAAGACTCCTGCATATCCTCTGGGACTGTGTCGGAGCATCCAAGTCTTGGGCATACATCATCACGCAGTGGACGCGATCGGAGGTATCATCCGCCCAAATGGAGTTGTACAAACAAGCAGCGTTATCGCGCGCAGCACCGGAGCTACCTCCGAGAGTGCGGGCAGATATTGAGCATATGTTCCCAGACAAAACTGACATCGTTGGACGGGCCTGGAAAAGAATATGGTGGATAGCGTGCTCCATATGCGTGACCATGCTCTGGATTCAGCGAAACAGAAGTATTCATAAGCAGGAAAGTGCGTCCACGGAGCAAGAGGTAGCGGAAGTCAAACAAGTCCTTCTTCGCCAACTCCGAGCGGTCGCTATCAGGGAACAACGAAGGGATAAAGATGTGAGCAAAGGCGTCTACCTTCGCCTAGCAACGGAAATGTTCCAATACACCATCAATATCCGGCAGCCGGTACTGCATAGCCCACGTAACCGCCAGGAGACAACTCCGAGGGTACTGGAATGGCTGAGGACTTTTCAGAAATCTTGTAAACCATAAACGGTAAATAGACAGTCTGTTTCCACCACCACGATATGTTTGGGCACGTAGGTTGAAACCTGCCAATTTTACACGTTATGTTTTTGTAATTAAGATTACAGCGTTGCACATCAGCACTGTAATTCTTGACCTTTGTCTCCAATCTAAACATAGAATGCCTGGCGCGTGTCTTAAAAAGCCATGCGTTATATAAACACCTAAAACATGAAAGCTGACATCGATCGAGACGCATACAAAGCATCCCATAAATTGTCATAACAGAAAAAGAATCGTTTCTCTTCTTCAAACTAGTTAGTAATCATTTTTTCGATCTTTGATTCATTCGAAGCTGACGTCTCAGCCTACCGTGCGGCTTGAATCTCTCAAATGCGAACCTTGATTCTAGGTGTTTGATATTGTCAATATTGCTAAAATCTAACAGAATGTTCCAGGCGAATAATAACTACTTAGAGAAGTAGATAGAACGGTTCAGATCGTCTATTTGCATGGTGTAAAACTATGTACAAGATCTCAGGAAAGTCCTAAGCCAAAATGTCAGCGCCGCTTGGCCCGGCGGTATGTCGTGGCTGGCCACCGTAAAACTCGGTGGCCCACTAGAATTGCGCTTTAGCAACTCAATGTAAGCATAAAGCAAGGCACCATGTGTTATGGTAACGCAATTGTTTTATGCTATTTCTCGTGGCAATTGCTTGGAGCCAACATTAGGCACAAAGCCCAAAAATTGGCGATGCTGCTGAGAAGGTGAAGTGTGACAGCCCTTGTAGACAATTGCGTTCCTTTCGACCCACATATGTGTTTGACATAACGTCGCGAAGACGTACTAAATTGATGTCTAGACGCATTCGGCGTCATTCTGAAATCGGTTTGCTAGGATTTGTGCTCGTAAGTTTGGGTCAATTGACGGGAGACTTTTTGCCAAATCTACTTTTATCTTTTTCTAGATTAGTAATAATCATCGAGAATTTGGATTTTTCGAAGAATCCAAAATGTTTGTAACGGTGTCCGAGGTATATAAGAAATTTCCGACGCTTCGAGTGAAAAAGATCCGCCTGGATTTTTTTTTCAAATTGATAGACTTTACTTATGCTATGAAAAAAAAACCCATCTGATTGTGTTCAACCACCTATCCCTATCCGTGATAGAAGCCTGTCGACTCTTCTCTTTCTTTCAATAGCAGTTAAGTCATAATCAGCCACTATACGTGTCGATCTCTAAAATAGAGGTCTACGAGTATTCATTCATAGAGGTATTTAACAAAAACGGCCGTTACATAATTGTGGGATGCCACTCCTGCGCGACATTTGTCGCCGTGTCCCCATTTTTAACGTCGCTGTTTCCAATTTTCTTCGAATATCTTTGAAAAGCTCATTATTAAAAACTTGTCCTACGTGATACGCAAGATGAAAATGGAAATATTTGCCGAGTGTGAAGAGCAAAAGGATCGTGTGAAAGCCTGTTATGGAGATTGGTTTCATAAACTTTGGAGTGGTTCTTCATTCGATCAGGCCGATTGTGAGCAAGAGACACTGGACTTCCGTCAGTGTGTACAGGATGCCATGAAGCGTCGTAAGGAAGAGGCCAAGAACAAGTGGAATGATGATGACAACAGCTGGATGGACCGGACGAAGGAGCAAGCGGATGATTTTGCATCCGATGTCAAGTCTCACGCACGTCAGACACGAGACCGTGCACAATATGAGAAGGATGACGCCAAGGGAAAAGCGAAGGGTAAAGCCTCGGATGCTCAGGACAAGATGCACGGCAAAGCCTCGGAGGCCCGGGACAAGATGCAGGGTAAAGCTTCGGAGGCTCGGGAAAAGATGCAGGGTAAAGCATCGGAGGCTCGGGACAAGATGCAGGACAAAGCATCGGAGGCTCGGGACAAGGTCCATGACAAGGCTTCGGATGCCAGTGACAAGGCGCAAGATAAAGCTTCGGATGCCAAGAAGAATGTGAATGGTACGATTTCGAACGTGGCGTCCAAGGTGCAGGACACTGCGGATTCGTGGGCGGAGAAGATTAAGGGGCTTGGTAAGTAGACGCTGTGACAAGAATGAAAGCGAGTTGCGTGGCGATATGCTCTTGCGGTGGCTGCTTCCCGCCGTAAAAGTTTCGCTTTTCTGCAGCCGTTTATAAGCAATATATTCTCGTACAAGTGGATATACGTAAGTTGTAGGACGTATTGATTGGGTTGTGATGTGATCCTGATGTCAAGATCGACATGTCATAACACCTGTCTGGAACTTGCAAAGGCTTCAATGTATCTTGCCACATGAGCATATCTACAATTTCTTACGATCGATAGTTTATCTTTTGCGTTTGTTTATGTAAGTTTTACTCGCCCGAGAATGCGGAATGCAGGCACCGATGGCTGAGCATGCGTAATCGTTCCGCCATGTGAAAATGGCTGCTATCTTGGATGTAGCGTTTCTTCTACTATTCTTCCTTGCAGGACTTATTCTCTAATTCGAATGAATAGCAAATTACCCCGTAGTCGTGCTTATATTGAGATGATGCAACTACAATTTGCTATCTCTACCAGCACAATTGAATTGGTCGACATGTAGATTGGCGGGCGAAATGTATCCAACCATGCACAATGCACTGTAACACTCTGTCAGAGAAAGATCAACGATAACTTTATTCAATGAATTGATCAGGCGTTTTTACGCCTTGACACCAGACTTCAGCATTAACGAAAGTGCACAGCATCGTTGAAATTTGTCATCGACAAGTCGCCACCGACAGCACGCTCCATGGTAGCTGATAATGCGTCAGCAGAGAAATCGGCATCTAGCGAGTGCATTCCCACACGCGTCTTCCCCCGCTTCGTTCGAATGATCAGCAATTCCGGCTTTTGCTGTCGATCACTATGACCAGCGGCTGTCTCTACCAACTTGTGCACCATTCTCTGCTGAGTCTTCCAATCAACGTATGCGATGCTCAGACCCTTCGAGTGACGAAACTTAGCTGCAACTTCCTTTGCCACCTTCATTTCTTTCTCGCGCTGTTTCTTATCACCAGACAAGACAAACACTGCGCACAGAGATGAGGCACTAGACGTGGCCTGTTTCCCCACGTTGCATAGCTTAGCTTCATTGCCGGCGTGCAACTTTTCAACCTCGCCAGAAGCGCGCATCTGTTGAAGACGTTCAATGTGTCTCTCCATAGCAAAATTGTACACTTGGTACTCATCAATCTTGCCTTTATATTTTGTCAATTGACCTTTCCAGACGTAAGCAAACGAAGGAAACGTCTCGATACCATTGGCCTTGCAAAAAGCTGCATGCTTTTCACAGTTCACTGCACCGACACGTACCTTGTTCTTCAAATCACGTGCAATGTTTTCATATTCGTCACGAAACTCGGCACTGGGTGCATCAATTGTGTAAAATTGCACCAGCCATTCATAATTTGCATCAGGGCCAGGAAACTTTCGTTTCGACAGCGTACTAACCAATGACTCGGCTCCGTATAATGTCGTTGGTCGTTCAAGTCGTGTACGACCCTTGAATCCTCCACTGGTACGACCAAAACCGTCTGTGCCACTGAATTGAAACTCCGTTGGCATTCCATGTCCACCTCCAGAAGTAAATCCCCCTCCAAAACCGTTAGCACCACCCGAAAAGCCAGTATGTCCAAAGACACTCTCAAACATTTTAGTAAATGACGCCATGCTCTCCTTTGTACCTCGTTTCCTTTGACTCCCCCCTTGTCCTCCACGCTCCAGCTCCAAACCGTCGAGCATCGTCGTATTCTTTTCGCTTGTCTGGGTCAGAAAGTACTTCGTAGGCTTCAGAAACCTCTACAAACTTTTCCGTTGCCGTCTCTTTTTCCTCAGCATTTTCAGCCTTATCCGGATGATATTGGAGTGCCAATTGACGGTACGATTTCTTAAGCTCCCGATCTGAACACTTTTTGCTCACTCCGAGTACTTGATAATAGTCTTTAGTTGGATCCATGGCTTTGATAGAGAATGCCAAGAAAAAGACCAAGACGAGCCATAAACGCACCCGATGGAATTGAAAAGACATTTTGACACGTGTAAGATATTTGAAAATGACTTTGAGTTGAGGCTTTTGATCGTACGTCGTCGTCTAGCAGGAGAAATTTCGAGAATGTCTTGGGGTAGATTGGCATTTCGAATCGGATATGGAGGGATATTTAATTATACATAAGCAATAATTGAGCTCGTTTGATATTGCAATACTACTGTATGGAAACGTACATATTGCATCCCGCAGTGGAACATGTACGTGATACTTCACGACTCGCAAGTATCAATAAGCAGTAAGAAAATGTATTGATAAAGCCTTATAGACGGCTGCTGGAACCATTAAGCGGGAAAACAGGACCATGAAGGTGACATCACTGTATCCACGGCTTGCCAGCACCAAATCGCCGCTTTCGCACGACTAGCTTATTTCTTGTCAATGCGTTTACTTCGCAAAACCCTTGATCTTGTCCGCCCACGAGTCCGCGGTGTCCTGTACCTTGGACGCCACGTTCGAGATAGTACCATTCACGTTCTTTCTAACATCCGAGGCCGTGTCTTGCGCCATGCTTTTGGCATCCGAGACTGTATCCTGCACCTTGCTCCTCGCGTTCGAGGCCGTGTCTTGCGCCATGCTTTTGGCATCCGAGACTGTATCCTGCACCTTGCTCGTCGCGTTCGAGGCCGTATCTTGCACCTTGCTCGTCGCGTTCGACGCCGTATCTTGCACCTTGCTCTTGACATCTGAAGCCATATCCTGCATGTTGTCTTGAGCTTTCGAGGCCTTATCCTTCAGCTTGCTCTTGGCGTCTTCCTTCTCATTTTGTGCGTGGTCTCGCGTTTGGCGTGCCTGCGACTTGGCATCGGATGCGAAATCATCCGCTTTCTCCTTAATGCGGTCCATACAGCTGTATTCATCATCGATATACTTGCTCGTCGCCTGCTCTTTACGAAGCTTCATGGCATGCTGCCCACACTGGCGGAATTCCCGACGCTTTATGGCATGCTGCACACACTGGCGGAATACTTCCATTTTCATAATGTGTATCGAGGAGGACAACGTTTTAGTAATGAGCTTTGAAGAAACTTGGGCGGCAATGTCAGCAGGAATGCAGCGCGAGCGTCGCGTCTAGTGGGGTATCCCAGCTGCAACGACCTTTTTTCACTACCGAACTAATGCTGGCTGATTCGTGATCCAAGCTTTGAGTAGTTTTGGTATAGCGTCGGGATCGTTTCGCCATCGTTCAGTATCATATGCTTTTGCTAGACGACGGCGAAACGTGCACCACACTTTCGCAGAGCCATTTTGAGATATTCACAAAAGTTACGCAATGTCTCATCGATTTACCTATTGGTGTGACAGCATCCTCTACCAAGTAAGTGGTACGTTCTACCAGGTGCTAAATGTGAGCAAGAAGTCCTCCGACCGGAGATCAACAAGAGTTACGCTTACTCGCCAGCTCTAGTACCTTTTTTTGTAGTATCAGTGAGTCATGTAGATATTCTAACGATTAGCTTCCGGAAACGACAACACTCGGAGTTCGGAGCAGCGGTTTCTCTTGACGTTTCGGAGATAAACGATGCTTGACGAAGGAGAACATGATATCGTTCTCAGCAATGTTCGCAGCAATTTTCAAGACTATCTTTAACACGAATTCAAATGAGGAGACCTTCTCAGACTACGCTGACGCTTTCGTTTGACGACCCCGACGTTATACCAAGACTACTCAAAGCTTGGATCACGAATCAGCCAGCATTAGTTCGGTAGTGAAAAAAGGTCGTTGCAGCTGGGATACCCCACTAGACGCGACGCTCGCGCTGCATTCCTGCTGACATTGCCGCCCAAGTTTCTTCAAAGCTCATTACTAAAACGTTGTCCTCCTCGATACACATTATGAAAATGGAAGTATTCCGCCAGTGTGTGCAGCATGCCATAAAGCGTGGGCGGGAATTCCGCCAGTGTGGGCAGCATGCCATGAAGCTTCGTAAAGAGCAGGCGACGAGCAAGTATAGCGACGATGACAACAGCTGTATGGACCGCATTAAGGAGAAAGCGAACGATTTCGCATCCGATGCCAAGTCGCAGGCACGCCAGACGCGAGACCGCGCACAAAATGAGAAGGAAGACGCCAAGAGCAAGCTGAAGGATAAGGCCTCGAAAGCTCAAGACAACATGCAGGATATGGCTTCAGATGCCAAGAACAAGGTGCAAGATACGGCCTCGGACGCGAGGAGCAAGGTGCAGGATACAGTCTCGGATGCCAAAAGCATGGCACAAGACACGGCCTCGGATGTTAGAAAGAACGTGAATGGTATTATCTCGAACGTGGCGTCCAAGGTACAGGACACCGCGGACTCGTGGGCGGACAAGATCAAGGGTTTTGCGAAGTAAACGCATTGACAAGAAATAAGCTAGTCGTGCGAAAGCGGCGATTTGGTGCTGGCAAGCCGTGGATACAGTGATGTCACCTTCATGGTCCTGTTTTCCCGCTTAATGGTTCCAGCAGCCGTCTACAAGGCTTTATCAATACATTTTCTTACTGCTTATTGATACTTGCGAGTCGTGAAGCATCACGTACATGTTCCGCTGCGATTTGCAGTTTCAAAGTGGGATGCAATATGCAACATCTAGAATTGCATACGTACAATATGCAATATCTAGAATTGCATACGTACCTACTTATTCGTGATATTGTCGATGTCAACACCTACTTATTCTTTTAGGTAGCGAAATGATCCACTCTTCGGTCCATGTCGCTGTCAACTTGTCTTGATTGAGTTGTTCTAGTTATACTAAGGAATCTGTCTAGTTATCTCAAAGAGCTCTTTATTGACTTTGTTAAATCAGACATCCTACACATCCAAATGTCGATGTCGATCCATCGCAAGCGCATTCTCGAAATGCTTTTGCGACGGCGAAACGTGCACCACACTTTCGCAGAGCCATTTTGAGATATTCACAAAAGTTACGCAATGTCTCATCGATTTACCTATTGGTGTGACAGCATCCTCTACCAAGTAAGTGGTACGTTCTACCAGGTGCTAAATGTGAGCAAGAAGTCCTCCGACCGGAGATCAACAAGAGTTACGCTTACTCGCCAGCTCTAGTACCCTTTTTTGTAGTATCAGTGAGTCATGTAGATATTCTAACGATTAGCTTCCGGAAACGACAACACTCGGAGTTCGGAGCAGCGGTTTCTCTTGACGTTTCGGAGATAAACGATGCTTGACGAAGGAGAACATGATATCGTTCTCGGCAATGTTCACAGCAATTTTCAAGACTATCTTTAACACGAATTCAAATGAGGAGACCTTCTCAGACTGCGCTGACGCTTTCGTTGACGACCCCGACGTTATACCAAGACTATTTAGAGCTTAGCTCACGAATCAGCCAGCATAAGTTCGGTAGTGAAAAAAGGTCGTTGCAGCTGGGATACCCCACTAGACGCGACGCTCGTGCTACTTCCCTGCTGACATTGCCGCCCAAGTTTCTTCAAAGCTCATTACTAAAACGTTGTCCCCCTCAATACGCATTATGAAGATGGAAGTATTCGCCGAGTGTGACGAGCAGAAGGATCGCGTGAAAGCCTGCTACGGTGATTGGTTCCAGAAGCTATGGGGCGGATCGTTCGATCAGGACACTTGCAAGCAAGACACACAGGACTTCCGCCAGTGTGTGCAACATGCCATGAAGCGTCGTAAAGAGCAGGCGAAGAGCAAGTTGAGCGACGATGACAACAGCTGGATGGACCGCACTAAGGAGCAAGCGGGCGATTTCGCATCCGATGCCAAGTCGCAGGCGCGTCAGACGCGAGACCGCGCACAAAATGAGAAGGAGGACGCCAAAAGCAAGATGAAGGGTAAGACCTCGGAGGCTCAAAACAACATGCAGGACAAGGCTTCGGATGCCAAGAGCAAGGTGCAAGATACGGCCTCGGACGCGAGGAGCAAGGTGCAGGATACAGTCTCGGATGCCAAAAGCATGGCACAAGACACGGCCTCGGATGTTAGAAAGAACGTGAATGGTACTATCTCGAACGTGGCGTCCAAGGTACAGGACACCGCGGACTCGTGGGCGGACAAGATCAAGGGTTTTGCGAAGTAAACGCATTGACAAGAAATAAGCTAGTCGTGCGAAAGCGGCGATTTGGTGCTGGCAAGCCGTGGATACAGTGATGTCACCTTCATGGTCCTGTTTTCCCGCTTAATGGTTCCAGCAGCCGTCTACAAGGCTTTATCAATACATTTTCTTACTGCTTATTGATACTTGCGAGTCGTGAAGCATCACGTACATGTTCCGCTGCGATTTGCAGTTTCGAAGTGGGATGCAATATGCAACATCTAGAATTGCATACGTACAATATGCAATATCTAGAATTGCATACGTACCTACTTATTCGTGATATTGTCGATGTCAACACCTACTTATTCTTTTAGGTAGCGAAATGATCCACTCTTCGGTCCATGTCGCTGTCAACTTGTCTTGATTGAGTTGTTCTAGTTATACTAATGAATCTGTCTAGTTATCTCAAAGAGCTCTTTATTGACTTTGTTAAATCAGACATCCTACACATCCAAATGTCGATGTCGATCCATCGCAAGCGCATTCTCGAAATGCTTTTGCGACGGCGAAACGTGCACCACACTTTCGCAGAGCCATTTTGAGATATTCACAAAAGTTACGCAATGTCTCATCGATTTACCTATTGGTGTGACAGCATCCTCTACCAAGTAAGTGGTACGTTCTACCAGGTGCTAAATGTGAGCAAGAAGTCCTCCGACCGGAGATCAACAAGAGTTACGCTTACTCGCCAGCTCTAGTACCTTTTTTTGTAGTATCAGTGAGTCATGTAGATATTCTAACGATTAGCTTCCGGAAACGACAACACTCGGAGTTCGGAGCAGCGGTTTCTCTTGACGTTTCGGAGATAAACGATGCTTGACGAAGGAGAACATGATATCGTTCTCGGCAATGTTCACAGCAATTTTCAAGACTATCTTTAACACGAATTCAAATGAGGAGACCTTCTCAGACTGCGCTGACGCTTTCGTTGACGACCCCGACGTTATACCAAGACTATTTAGAGCTTAGCTCACGAATCAGCCAGCATAAGTTCGGTAGTGAAAAAAGGTCGTTGCAGCTGGGATACCCCACTAGACGCGACGCTCGTGCTACTTCCCTGCTGACATTGCCGCCCAAGTTTCTTCAAAGCTCATTACTAAAACGTTGTCCCCCTCAATACGCATTATGAAGATGGAAGTATTCGCCGAGTGTGACGAGCAGAAGGATCGCGTGAAAGCCTGCTACGGTGATTGGTTCCAGAAGCTATGGGGCGGATCGTTCGATCAGGACACTTGCAAGCAAGACACACAGGACTTCCGCCAGTGTGTGCAACATGCCATGAAGCGTCGTAAAGAGCAGGCGAAGAGCAAGTTGAGCGACGATGACAACAGCTGGATGGACCGCACTAAGGAGCAAGCGGGCGATTTCGCATCCGATGCCAAGTCGCAGGCGCGTCAGACGCGAGACCGCGCACAAAATGAGAAGGAGGACGCCAAAAGCAAGATGAAGGGTAAGACCTCGGAGGCTCAAAACAACATGCAGGACAAGGCTTCGGATGCCAAGAGCAAGGTGCAAGATACGGCCTCGGACGCGAGGAGCAAGGTGCAGGATACAGTCTCGGATGCCAAAAGCATGGCACAAGACACGGCCTCGGATGTTAGAAAGAACGTGAATGGTACTATCTCGAACGTGGCGTCCAAGGTACAGGACACCGCGGACTCGTGGGCGGACAAGATCAAGGGTTTTGCGAAGTAAACGCATTGACAAGAAATAAGCTAGTCGTGCGAAAGCGGCGATTTGGTGCTGGCAAGCCGTGGATACAGTGATGTCACCTTCATGGTCCTGTTTTCCCGCTTAATGGTTCCAGCAGCCGTCTACAAGGCTTTATCAATACATTTTCTTACTGCTTATTGATACTTGCGAGTCGTGAAGCATCACGTACATGTTCCGCTGCGATTTGCAGTTTCAAA